CAAACTTCAGTCAGGAGAACAACTGAGATAATCCATCCACAATACGAGGTTAGTCATTAATATACTGCTGCATGGGCTGCAGTTACATCGTAAGGATTTAAAAACTGAGCTTTAAAATGAATAGCGGTAATAAAAACCGAGAGAGGCCGACAGTGATCACTGACTGTTTTTAGAGGCTTGTTGAGATTAAATAGAACAAGATACAAAGCATTAAAACATGTTAAACACACAACAGACTTAATAAATGCAGAGTAGTTTGGGCCCGGAAGCAGGATTCATCATGTCATCACTTAAAGGTTAGCTTGTGTAGCCTTTAGCATCTTTTGGTTTCAGGTTCCTTAGACAGTCCTACAAGATAAACTCACGCTCACTGCAAGTTTACATTCACACGAGATTCCTAACTTGGAAATTCAATCTCATGTCTTTGAAATAGACCAAACCACCACTCAAAATATTTATCCGCTACTTTGAGTTTCACATTTAGCTATTTAGCTTAAAAGTTTAGCTAGTTAATCATCTTCTACTGGTTTATTACTTTAACCAGCTATCAACTAGCTCACTTTATCCAGTTATTTGAACTACAAATTGTTTCAATCCTTCAATTATTTTGTGCCATGGCAATCCTTTTTATTAACAGTTTGAACATTCATTTTGGCTAATACGTACACAGCTACAGAGCCAGTCTGACGTGTAAATGATGAGTTTTGACCCCTCAGCCAATAAAGGACCTCGCCGGGCAGGCAGGTCTGCGACGTGGACACTTAAGTTTGTGGTAACTCAGCCACTGGTATTTTTATGTCATTTCATATGGACTTAGCATCCGTTAGTTTCCAGAGTGGATTTTCTTGTTTCAGTTTAGCTTTAGTTTGGTTTTTAATAATTTCAGTGTTTGAGTCTTTTTCATTACTATAATGTATGAAGGGCAGATGCCAGAGGCAGTATTTAGGAAAATCATTGCAGGCACGACTACGATACTTTTTTGAAAGCAGTTGAAAATCTTGTAGACTCAATAAACATGCCCATTAAAGCCACATCAAACTCACTTCCATAAAACCTTTTATGAAAGTTAATGATACTAAAAGTAAGGATATTTCCTCTGTATTTTTATTTTATGTGACTGCAGTAATATTCTGACCTCCAGTGTATCTGAAGTCAGGAAAGGAGAGGGCTGCTCACCGCCTGTACTATTAACAACCGAAGCACTGAAAGCAGAGAGGCTGGGAAATGGCCCGAGGGTTCAAGCCTATTTCTCTGCAGTTAGAAGCTGCAAATGACTGCAACAGCGAGGTACAGCACAGTGCAATGAAATCACGGGAAAAGCTAATATTTCTCACACCCGGCAAAAAAAGCTGTCTTCTTTACTTTTTTAAACAATATCTGTGTGGATTCATGATTGTAATTACTCTCATGTGCATTTCTCAGAAGACTGTGCTCTTCGCTTCACTCTGCAGGTTTTGCAAGTCCAAGATTACATCAAATGAAGGGTAAGCTGTGCACACCGAGTAATGGCAAAAACATGTAGCTGCCTTGCCCAGAGCATAATTATGATAGTATGACAAGCAAGGGTGATAAAAACTCAATAAAGTATGAGATCACTGAGTAATTTCAATGATTAGGATTATAAAGAACAAACTGGATGAAGTCAAAGCTGTTTTTTTAACCTAGTGTTGTATTCACAGCATATCTGCGACTGAACTGTGTTTATGAAAACATACAGTTTGCTCATTTACCTGTGTGACATTTTACAAATGCCTACCAACATCACACGACATGCAGTCCACAGCTCCCTGATGAATGCAGACTTAGAACATGGTTTATATCTTTGTCTCAAACTGTGAAATTTTCATTATTATTATTCAAACAGCTGAAACTATAAAATGATAAAGACTCTTAAACAGGCTGCCCTTCACATCAGTGGTCACGGGAAACAATTATCCACTAATAAACACATATTTAACTTTGTAGAAACTTTGAAAAAACTCAACTTATCATTTAGTACCACTCAGTATCTATTAGTCTTTGAAGACACGTCTGTGTGCGTCAGGCAGCTTAAGCATGAAAAACATCCCTGCACTCTGATATTTGTGATCGTTTTTTACCAGATATAGTTTATTGTGGCAAAAGCACAGTCACCCAACAGCTGAGCCGCAGATTTTTGCCTAAAGCTGTCTTTACACATGCACTGTATGTCCAGCTTGTTCCTAGACAGTACTACATCGTGCCTTTATGGTTCATTATAAAATAATAACACAATAAGATACCCCAGAGGAACAGAGAATAGTTTTCACATTATTTTATCACTGGTGAGAATAGAAACTAAAATGACTGCAGCAGAGAGCAGCACAGACAGCAGTGGGTAAAGTGGATCTATTTTTCGATTATCTGATGGGACTTATTAAAGACAGAGGACAATTTTCTCTGCAGAGTATTAAGAGCCAGAGTATACGTCACGGCAGCCTGAGCTCGGTCGATAGCTCATCATTCCCCATCGTGTGGGACGGTAAATCTCCCTCCTGTCTGAGCGAAGAGTGGAGGGCAACGATGTCAGTCCTCCGAGTATGGATGGCTCAAAAAACCAGGACGCGTTCAGAGAGCGGACCGAGTACCAACGCCCACCTTCACGGCGAGCAGGAGTTCAAAAGCTGGAGATTTCTTTGGCTTTTTGAACTTATTGAGGGATTCTGGTGGAAATTTCATTGCATGCATTTGGCAGTCTGAGACAAAATTAAGCTCAGTTTCACTGATGGGTTTGGAAACTCATGCTCCATCACCAACATCAGCATACAGCTCGCGTTCCTCAGATCCCACACACACAGCGACATGCCACAGAGTTTCAGAAAAGCCTTATTCATAAATCATATTGATCAGAAAGGAGAACTCATGGAACGTCGTGTAGTGTGGCCTTCTGCGTGTCACCTCCTTTCTTTATATTGTGCTTCCAATGAGCCAGACTTTGTCTGAGGGTCGTTCATAGTTTCCTTTGTCTGCCTTTCCGCTCATTTTCAGTCCAGTCAGGAATAAAGTAATTTCCTCGGCATGCTGTGCAGTGTGCCGGGTGAGTGCAAGACAAAAGAAGAGGTGGCAGGGAGGGCTGTGCCGTACCGTCCACGACAGAAAAATGTCATATCACTATATTATTGCGATATCATCAACAGGATGCGTTTATGTTCCAAGACGAGCCCGGGCGTGTCTGAGAGCCGCGGGAGCCGTGTGGAACCTGGTGATGCGTGACCCACACGTCGCTCTCCACATGACAGGAAGAGCAAACGGTGGATGGAAAGCACTGAAGTGGTTGCATAGTGGAAAAGCAGGGCTTCGGGCAGCTGGTTAAAAAGCTCAGCCCAGACGGAGAAAACATTTTCAGCTTTGTTGTGACAGTACTGCGCAGCTCCTGAGGAGTCACAGGGTTCAGTTACTTTAGCAGATATCTGCTGCTTTTACTTTAAATGTGCCCCCACCTGCCTTTGTGCTGACGGGCACTGTGACATAATGCTGAGTCACTACTATTACACTACCGTGGTGCTGCTGCCACCTCATTTCAATACACACACACTGCAAAACAGGAAGCGTGTCATCACTGACACAATGAAGCTCACTGGAAAAGAAAGATGGAAATGACCTTCGCTCACTTCCACTTACAAATGCTGATGTGTGCAAGCATCAAACAATACTTTCTTAACTTCCACAGAAACATCGTTATCGCACATTTGATGTATCCTAATATCAGGCTACATCTCTCTGCCTAACATCCATCAGATGAACAGTATGTGAAAGTCACGTCCTTGAGAAATGGATAAACAGGAAAAATGCATCTGGCCCTTCAGTTGATCCACCTACTGTTCACTGAAGCCTCATCGGGAACGGCATCAGTGGAAGGGTGGATGTCACGAAGCATTTTATAAGGAAGGGGAAAAGGCTGAGGTATGCCACGTTACACAGGAACTGAGCTGAGAATCAGTGGCAACGTCTGATGGAGCCACGGATCCAAGTTTACATTTTTTTTGGCTGAAATCCTCGTCAATGTCAATCGTCCGACAGGGAGTCGATATCTACAAGGTGGAGGCTGCGTCAGGGTTTGGGGCAGCAGTGGTGTTGGATCCAGATGCAGTTTTCTTTTTTCATCTTGACAGAGAAAAGAAGAAAAAGCAGCCGAGATCCAAAGAAGAGCCTTCAAGAGATCCAGAGAAAAGTACAAGAACACTTCAAGAGTTCAGGCTGTTCAAGAATAAAGACGCACACACCAAATATTGACTTTCCAGCTGTTCCATGCCTGTTTGCACAGTTCAATAAACTGCTGCACCCATTCTCCAAGCACAGTCTAAAGAAATGAGGCTTTTGCACAGTCTGTAACTGTAAGCTGGTGCATAACTAACTGTTTGTGAATTCAGTTCCTCATTTATTTGCTGTACATTAATAGCATATTTTATAAAATGTCCCAACTTGCCCAGTTTCCCACTGGTGCGTCATTGAAAGGAACCAGGGAATCTAATACTGTCAATTTGAATATATTGAAATTAGCAGACAAATAAGTCCGAGATTAGGGCTCAAGTTCAGTCCACTGAGAATCAGCCACACCCTGGTTGTAGTGGAAACATTCAAAACAGCAACAAAACAGCAAAATAGCTGTGAAATAAGAGTTCTAATAAAGTCAACTCTCTGGGCTGGATGACTTTGGATTTCAAGTTGAATCAGGTCACAAGGAAACTTGAGTTTCTGAGCTGACACCACTCCAGGCAACGGTGACACTGTAAAGTGTTCGGGTAGTGTAGCAGTGGAGCAGGTTCCACTATAAACAATCTGGTAAAAGTAAGGAAAGCCTGATTTGCATGAGGAAATTTAAGCCATGCTTCAAAGTCATGGCACCAAAGCCCACGCCTGCACTCCGCGTTTGTCACTAACAGAAGAAACAGTAAAAGATAGATTGGGTCGGTTTTTGTGCCGTTTTCCTACTTTCAGAAACAGCTAGAGCAATTCCATCCCAAGTCACCAGTGCTGTGCTGTAATAGATGGAAAAAGTTATTATGCAGTGAGGATTGCACCACTCCACCCCTCTCTGACCTTCACCTCCCTCAAACTGCAACTGGGGTCACAGTCTGAGGGAACGGGAGCTTTGATTGAGAGTTTTGTTTCCAGTTTGGCACAAGCAAGGAGACTGCACTGAACGCACATCAGCACTGGGTGGAAAAGCCTGCGACAGACACGTTTCCACACAAACTGGGAAACCAGAATCCTAACAGGGGAATAACAGTGCAGTCTATTAGGTGGCGACTTCCTGGACAGTTAGGGTCTCAGATCCCAGAGCGGTACATCTGAAAATGGAGACTGACACATTTTAATTAGCAGGGTCGTACTTACAAAGGAGACGCAGGCAGCCAGCAGCAGGATCCTCACCAAGAGGTCTTCAAACTGCTCCACCACCAACTCCCACAGGGACTTGCCTGAAATGTTTAAGTACACATTGCACACCTCGATGCATCACACTTGATTTAACGTTGAAGGCTCTCGCTGTAAAGACGCGTGTCCTGGAAAGACGTGTTGACATTAGCTCTCTAATACTGATAAAACAAGACCAATGCTGTATCTACAGTGTTGTGTGTCCATGGGTGGGTAGCTGCTATAGTGGACACTGCCAAGATTACCCCTCAGTCAACAACAAGAAAGAAAGAAAAGATCCCGGCTCAGGATACTTCATTAAGCACAGAGAGGAGGATCACAGCTCAGTGCAAAAATCAATATTTACCTTCTTCAGCTGGGAGCTCTGTGGATGTCACGCGGTGCAGGTCGTAGAAGAGTCGAATCGGCAGGGCCGAGGCGGAGGAGAAAAACAAGAAGAGAGCAGTTAATACGTTTGATTACCTCAGTGTGACTTTAAGATGCACGGACACGCACAAATTGCTCTGTTGAATTGTTCCGCTTGGTTACGATGATTAAACGCTCCGCGCAGTGAGGCAGGACAGCAACGCTGTTGTTTTTCCAAGCCGAGGACTACAGGATGCAATCACACGTCTACTGTTGTGATGACCAGCAAGTCGATTTCTAGGATCAGCCACTCATGGAAGTGCAGCTCGGGATGTTTTGCACGGCGAACCACAGACCACCAATCACCTTTGACTGCTCGTGGTGATGTAACGGCTAACCAGACTCAGTCTCGCCACCTCACAGATGTTTCATGACGAGCGTTTCTTCACTAAGACTGAAAAGCCAAGTTATAAAACTTCAGTTGATATTCTTTTGGAAACCCATACCCACCGCCTGTTGCATTAATCAGATATTTCTGAAGGCCCGGGCGACCTCTGACTGACCTCATTATCAAGTCACTGCTGATTGCAAACAGGTTATTCAGTAAGCTGACAGTCGTATATGGGAGAGACTTTTTTTGCTCAAAACTAAACTAAATTTTTTAACTAACTTTGTTATAAACGTCCAACCTCATGAATCCCTGCAGCTTCCATGCTGTTTCTGAGCGCGGCAGCAAAGCTCCCAATGCTAGTGTAAGTTAGATTAGACAGAGTGATTGGACAGATTAGTTATAATTGCAATGAGCCACTTCAGTTCAGAAATAAGATTAGCTTTATAATAAAGGTAATCTGTGTTAGTTTATCAAGGCAACAGGTTGCTCTCAGCACTGGTGCACATTCTGTTTACTGCACCAAACCCTTTTGTTCATCCACGAGCTAATATCCCACAAAAACAATCACCAAAATTTCAGCATGTTGCTCCGTTCTGTAACATTTTCTTGTCATTTTCAGGCTTAATCAACATTTCAAAGGAGAAATTGTTTGTTTTTTGGCATTCCGACATCCCCCCACGTACATGAGTCAGCGGCAAGAGTAGAAATCACATCAGTCATGTTCTAAAAATGCTCCAATTGACAAGCACTGTTGATCAGTGTCACCACAATGAGACAAAAGCAAAGTTGCCGTGTTTGTCGGGCCCATATCGGGTCCAGTGCAAAGTTATGACTGAACAGGTCGGACGTAGCAAACGACCTGAGGATGCATCACTGGACGCGTTTGCTTCGGCGGGATTAGTTATGAATTCTTTCCAGGAGAGTGTGCGCATTTTCTTACCGACTAAGGGAATCAAAAAAATATTATTCTTTAATCCACTCCTTTTAAGTGAAGCTTTTTCTGCATATAAAGTAAGTAAAAGCTTGAATTACAGCCCTCATTACAGAATGACTGTGGAAAAGCAGCTATACTTAGAAGGCAGTGGGCTGCAGCTCTCAATAATAGCAGCATTCTCCTTTAAGCAGTGGAAACCCCGTGTTTCTCTGCATGCTCTGACCACACTGTGCAACACGTGTGTCTAATGTGTAGAGAGGAACTGGAAAGAGGCCGTGACATGAGGCCTCGGCACTCCTTCCACTCGCTGGCGCAGAGAGAAAAACTGTGTTTTTAGATGGAGAAGAGATGCTAAAAGCAACCGGGGAGCATGCCAAATTAGATGAAAAGGCTCCTTTATTTACTTTAATAAAACTACACACAGGCCACCACTTCAATGTCCACTTGATAAGGTTTGATAAGGTCAAACCTGCAGCTGATCTGTTAGCATTTCTGTATTAGAAAACAACCATCTTGCGGGGGTTGACCCTCACACTGTGGTCAGCTCTCTCCGCTCCACAAAACACCCTCCTCAGACTGTGTATTAATAGCTGATGAGTCACTGTGAATAGCTTTTCTAACCTGCCATCTGAAGGGTTTTCTGAGTGCACTCTGCCAGCAGCAGCAGAAATGTGGAGAAGTGGGTTCTGCTGTTTTCCATGCTCCACCAGTGTGACATAAGCCTCTTTCCCCATAACTGTGCCTCCCCGGTTGTATAATGTTTTTATGGCAGACAGGCTGGCTGTGACCCGACTGCATGAGACAAAGACGGGCTGACTGAAAGGACGAGACAGACATGAGGGTGGGGGATACAGCGAGGAAAAGAGATGGAGGTGTTGAACGGGGTTCCCCGGCTTCCCTCTGCCAAGGATTCCCTCCCAGTCATCCGGGCTCTGTCAACGCGAGGCTTGCCCAGGCACATTCCTGAATACTGACTTCACCTCTCTCTCTCCTCATGTCCCCACAGCACCTCCCCACCTCCTCCTCCCTTCTCCCAGCCCAGACAATGAATAAAAGAGGCTGTTTACGCAGAACAGAAAAACTGAGCAGTGCCTAGAAGAAGGGAGACACTTCCTGGAGACAGTTGCCAACAACAGCAACAGTGAGATGCTCTCTGTGTTCAGAGCATCAGGAAGCAAAGCAGGAAACAGTCCGTCTTTCTTTCTGCGCTGCGAACAATCTGCCGATAAAGGATCTCACAGTCCGAGCTGCCCCCCCCCCTTGCTCTGAGTCCATTAACAAATTACAGGCCAGATCATTAAAACCCCCAGTAAACATCACATCTGAGTGTGTTAAGCAGTGTTAACAAGCCAGAATCCAGGCTGACTTGTGAAAACTACAAACACAACAAAGTTTTCAGCAGTTACCATGGCGACTTGACTCATGAAGACTCCTTGAAAACAAGTGCGTTACAAGGTAATGTGCAAGTGTCTGTCAGAATTGACCAAGAATAACTATTATGCAATCAGTGGGACCTTGATGTAGCATGCTATTGACTGCAGGCATCAAGCCCCCACACATTCTCATGTAGATAAGCTCACTGCTGGCCTGCTACTAAAACACCATTAGCATGCAGACAAGCAGACACACCTCCGAGCACACAGCTTACAGTCACCCATCGATTGAGGAGGAGCACGGGGGTGAAGGAGGAAGGAGTATGGAGGCAGTGTGGTGAGGAGTGTACTAGCTGAAGGATTCGGCTCCATCCACTAACCCTGAATGCAAAACAGGTCTATAAATAGCATGATGGTAACCCCTAATGATAGCTTCCTACATCCACTAAATGTGTTGTCCCACTGGAAAAGGTCTGAATGCATTAACCGTATCAAATGTGAATGATAAATGTACTTCATTCTCCACCCTAACATCATTATCTCCGCTGCACAGAGAGCACTGCAAGTGACTGCAGAACAGACATCCGCAGTCTGATAATGTCAAAGTTTCTCTCCTTTACATAAATATCGACAAAGGGCTTCCCTATTCTGAGGAGCTCATATCGAACTACGTCACGTGGGCGAGTATCAGCGACCATCTTTAGGAATCCCTGACCACTGCCAGGCAACCCTAAAGATCTGCTACCACAGGAACAAGAGCAGTGATGCTAAAGTTACTACAAGAACATCAAGTCCTCACATACGGCCGATGTTCAGTCATTTAAGCCCCAGAAATCGTTCATAGTGGATTAAAGCTGCTCCGCTCAAACAAAAGAAGATTAAGTCAACACAGCCAAGCTAACTGTGGTGCTTTGAGCTAAACGCCAATGAGAACACGAGGATTCTAGCGTAGCATGCTAATGCTATTTAGCAGCACGCAACAAAGCTGAGGGGAGCAGCTGTTTAGTCACAAACAGTGAAAGTAGTCGTAGAGCGTTGGAGCTGCAGAAATGGTGACCGTGTAGTTAGAGGAAAAGTCTGATGACTTCTGAAGTGACAACAACTCAGTTTGAGAGAAGCATAGAAATGTTCACTGGTGACCCAGCCAAAATGTGGCTTTTCCCCAAAATGCAAATTCCCACACAAAGAAAAAGCTAGAGGAGAGGGATTCCTGCTACTGGAACTGACAACATCTTGGCTCAATGTCACATATATTTGATTCAGTTATTTGAAACAGTATTGGACCAATTTCTGAAGTAGTGAATCCTTTAGCCTGCAGGCATTCAAACATCAGTGGAAGCACAGCTCAGTTTCTGTAAAGTTTTTATTGCCGGCAAAAATTCTGCTGTTCTTTGAAATATTTCAGGAAAAATCCTGAAATATAAAGTTAGAATAAGTCAAGATTTCTTGAGCAACAAAGGACCAAGTTTTCCCTAACAGCAGAATAAGAACAGCATTAACGTTCTTATTCTGTTCACATTATACAAACTTTGTCAAAATAAGTTGGAACAATGGTTTCATTTTGGTGGAAGGAAAATTATATTAACATGCACAGTGGGGACAAAAAGGACGTAGGATGTTCTGCTCAATACAATTTGGCATTAGCTGCGATGATATCGATTAACCGATAGAGTCGTGATTCTTCCCCTGCTGAGCCCACAGAGGAGAAATACCATCAGCTGTCAAAGCTGAAAGGAGATTGGCTCTTTTGTGCAGCTTCTCTCTGAAAGTCTGCGTCATTAGAGAGACTGAATTTAGTTTCAAAGTGGAGATTTTCCTCTTTTCGAGCCAGTTACGACATGAGATTGAGGGTAACGGCCGCTGCAGCTGTCCATTGGCTGCACTGTATCTGACGTCATCAAAGCTGTGGTCAGGGAAAAAGAGAGCGAGTTTTTTCCCTTTGGTTGTTGCACAAGATAGAGCATGCTGAAATCAAACTGTAGCATCATTCTCACGTTCTAAATGCACGCATGCAAGTGTCCTGCTTATTTTACTGCGTCGATCATTTGCACGCCATGCTCGACTGAGCCACGAAAGAGTGAAAGTGCTGATGAAGACCAGAGATACGACATCTATATTTAGGCCTTAATGTAAAGAACACTGCTCTCTAACTGTTCACACCCCACGCACACTGCATACTGCTCTTTCTACATCACATGCAAGTTTAAATAAGCATCCAATAAAGTGCTTTTCCCCACATATTGCCACTAAGTATCTTCAGCTCTGCTGTCAAATTATAGAGGAAAAGGAAGAGGGCCTGTCAACAGAGCAGGACATGCTTGAGGTGATTAGCAAAGAGCCCGTATCTCGTCAGGGCTCAGAGTTTCCTCTTTAAGGTCACAGCTGTGCAAAGAACCATTTTTCGAACATCTCAACAGGCATCTGGCCACCAAACGAAGACGCTGTGGAAAATAGTCAGCAATCCCCAAACGGACAGACTGAAATATCTGTGTATTTATAGAGTTTCTTCTAGGTTTGGAAACCAGAGCGCCACTTCTGTCCAATCACGTGCCTGATAGATTACAACTTCACTGATGTGAACCCTGAAGCAATGGAGGCCACTGAAACTAGTTGAGCGACTTCTATAGGCTGTGTGAATACTTGTGCCCTAGCATTTAAATATATGCTTAACATTGTAAAAGCCCCTTCTCAGCCATGTCTGTGATCCTGCCATCACACCCACCTGCTAACAGTTCATAATCACAGGGACACGATTGTTCTCGACGTCTGAAACGAACCCCAAACAACTGCTATAAATGCACTATTCTCTTCAAACAGTGTGTGGTTATTTTGCCAAAATGATCGGTAGTTTTAACCATCGTATTCAGAAAGGGCCAAAAACAGCTCCTAAAGCAGGTCTGCCTGTGAAGCCAACACTCTGTACTTCCCTTTCCTTCGTACAGCTCCGTTGTTTGGATTGTGGGCCACACTCTGGAGGGTCACGTGCAAGCTGAGCATGGTTATGGTGACATTTTCTTTTTTATTATATACAATATGTAGACAGATAAGTGATTGAGACGCTGGCTCGATGGATGGGTGCATAAAGTGTTGCTAGTAAAGGGCAGAATCGGTGACTGTAGAAACTACTACAGTCATTGGGTGGAATTACCACAAAAAGCAAGGACGCTCGTTGCATGTGCGTGCAATCGCAACTTGTAGGCACACTCAGCTTCATCACGTTTTACTTACAATACGAATGATTTTCTACATGAACGTTCTGCGGTACTAAACTTGAAACTAACGATTAGAATCACAAACTCATCAGGAAAGTGTTTACTCAGATCACAAGCTTCAGCATCCAAACCAGAGGAGGCGCCCCCTGCTGGCCATTGGCTTCACCTTTCAGACTGGGAACTGCTGCCATCTTTTAGATTCAGTCTGTTATTTAACCATTGATCCAACTGTTAGGTTCTCGTGTTCCAGCCACTAATGATCATTAATTGACATGCAGCTGATTATCCATAACCCACGCTGCTCTTGGACGTCTCTGAATGCTATTTAATGACTTTCATGTGCTCTTTACCTCTTTGTGGTATATTTGAAGGCAGTGTAGGCTACAGCACACGCTCTGCATACTGCCCACACTTTGGAACACAAACTCCGTGCATCTCCTCTGTGGATCGGACCGTGCTGTAGCAGAGCATCCAGGCAACGTGTTAGAGCCTCATGACTCAATATCATGTTAACATAAGGGCTTGATGATGAGTGACACATGCAGGGGTGGGAGGGAAGAAGCCGAGACAAGTGACAAGCTAGAACAGGATCACAGTCCCTTAGAAGGCAGCTGGGCAGGCACGCACAGAGCCACTACAACAGGGAAGTGACTCAACACCCCGAAGACTTCAAATTACTTTTCTACAACTTCTCTCAGCCCACACAACACCGACACTGTTACCGCAGTTTAAGTCTCAACTGGACACTTTTCAGTGATCGAGACGCGCTCTGCAAAGCGCCATGGTGAGTGTGCCGGCAGAGAGGAGGAGCAGGAAGCAGCGTGTCTCTCACATTTCAAATGGAGGAGAGATTAAGTCAGGCAGCTTTTATGTTGATCTGCAGAACAGGAAGAGAAACAGCCCTGTGTGAGAGCGAGATCCTACCAGAGGAAGCTGTAGTTATTATGTGTGGCAGAAACCAGACTGAAGAAACAGCTTAGATAAAGACAGAATCACCTTAGAATAACAACAACAGGCAGCTTCCATCAGTGAAAGTAACCAAACGCTTTAATTCAAACAACTTCAAAGAAGAGAAGAAGCTCAGTGGCATCAGTTTATCAATCAAACACTTTCGGTTTGCTGCCACCGGCAATTTGACTCGAAGCATTTCCATCTGCGAGCCAGAAAACGCATGTCATTTTGGACACGGAGCAATGGTGGCGCAATGACACGTCATACCAAGTTGTTTAACTTGTAAATGTTGCACAACTATACTCCAGGGAGTGTCGAGTGACATCCTAACACATTCAGGCTATTCTGAAGGCTCTGCACTTGTGCAAAGTAACTGAAAAAACAGAACCCATAAAGAAAGGAAATAGAAAAGCCTCTCACTGTAAATTAATCACAGAAGGGGCCTTTGTTCCAAAACAGGAGGATATGAATGAAATCTAATTATTTAACATGCTCCGAGTAAGAATCCTTCTCAATTTAAACATCATTTAATATATTCAATTCCTAAGAAGAAGACTGATGCCATGAACACTCGTTCATTCATTCGAGTGTCAGCTACTTTAAAATGTCGGTTTTTTAAACAAAGAAAGTTTAGAGAGCAAACGTGCCGTTTTTCTGACTCTTCCTAACAATGAGTGCAGCACACAATCACTGAGCACCACAAGTGTGCACCCACACACAGGAGAGACAGACCTGCGACTTCCTCTCTCCTGCTGCATCACAACCAACTGCTTCACAATGATGAAAGTGATAAACTGTCTCACAAATTGAGGTGCTTGTAGCGCTCAACAGTAGTTTAGCTGGATGCCTGTAGTGTGCGTCTCTGTGAATGGAGTTGCAAATAAGCGAGCTGCTGCTAGACCATAAACGGAAGGTGTGAATAAAAGGCCAGCTGCCTCCTTTCTGCAGCACAGACTGCTGTGTAGAAAAGGCTCTCTCCATATGTGGGAGCTAATGTTCCAACAAAGCCTGAGGGCGGCTGCTCCGATGGAGCGCGTTTAAAGTGCTGATAGAAAGCTCACCTGTATTTACGTTTCAGCAACAAGTTACAAAGAAAGATGATATAAATATCAGTTAGGTTTGAACCTGTTGCCATCTACACCACAATCAGGGGAAAAATCTCATACTAGGCCGATATTTAACCTCATGGTGGTTTCCCTTTATTTGTGACCTCCATATTATGCGCCGACATAATAGTACAGGACACAGTCTCATCTCAAACAGCAGAGGCAGTGCAAGAGGATAAAGTCCCACCAGGCCCACGACAGTGTCATCTCTGAGTCAAACAGATCATGTAATCTTCCTAGCGTGTCGTGCCTCCTTACACAAGACAGCTGGAGCGACACTTGGACAGCAGCTCGCGTCATTTTCACGTCCTATCTGCCTCCAAACCGAGGCAAACGCTGAGCTCAGACGAATAGTGGAGGATCTCGCATGTTTGGGGTCCCCTGCCAACCAGACAGTGCACACATGTCAGTGGAGGCAAGGTAATCATACCAGCCGCGAGCTGCTTTGAACGAACGTAGCCTGGAACAAAACACCAGGGCGCATATGAGGCCCTTGCTTCATCTACAAAGTCTGTGGTTTGCGAGCAGAGGGGAAGCAGCAGTTAAGCAGCCGTACATCACTTTGCACTAAAATAGTAAACAGACTCGTCAACTCTCCTGCTGTCATTTTTCAACAGCTTTGACTTGGGAAAAAGCACATGATAACCCTTTTGCAGGTAGCCCCCAAAAACTGGAAAAAAAAGGGGGGGGGGGTATTCCCTCCCTCCAGTGTTTCTCTGCAGCGCGCTCACACAAGGCAGGAAGTTCACAGCTCAAAGCGAAAGAGATGTTATCTGTAGCAAGACGTTGCTTTTTTCCATGAAGTCATCACAAGCCCCTGGGTAGAGTCGGCTGGCTGCAACAAAAGGGCTACTGTTCGACTGGCACAATGCGCGGCTCTGCTCAACAGCTTGGCAGCACATGCAAATGACAGGCCAGGAGCGATAGGTGCGTTGGTGTCAGGCCCAAACTCCACACAAAACCACGCAAACACCAGTCGGTGCATGTACGCGATGAGGTAGACCTGAACAGGCTTGCCTCATGATCAGCATCAGTCCAGCTGAGAGCCTCAATTGAAAGAGGCTTTGACAGGCAGACCTGGCAACCTGGGCCTGGTCCAGTATGTCACTCTGAAACGTTACATGACTTGACCCAGCTACTCCCTCTCTGTTATCGTGTAATTTGAACTGCAAAGTAGAGGCCCTGTGTAAGAACCACTGTTGAAAGTGAAAACAGGTTGTTCAAGATTTTCAGTGTGATTATTTACGGCACAGACCATGCCCCAAAGCCCGAACTCTGCAGGACAGCCGAGGATGCCCGTCCTCACACAGCTGCGCATACTGTGTCGGTATTTGGTCAGTGGACCCTTTTTTGGTTTTGGTGAGATACAAGCGCGCTGTCTGTCTGCTCACTAAGCCACTTGACATGACTTCAAACCAGACCAGACACGAGGCGACCTCGGGGAGGGGGACTACGACCTCGGGGACGGGGACTACCTCAAACACAGATGTAGCTGGATTGGTCAGGCTTGTATTACACCTTTCCTTCCCAGACGGGGCTTCTATGTGCTCGCTGCGAGGTGTTTCAACACGGGCATGTGCATCAATGAATGTGCCTCTGACATTTCCACTGACTGTGCGCCTGAGGGAACGGGGCTGTTTTTTACGCGCACGATCTGCCTCAGCTTGAAATATAACGGCTGCTGAGGGATTTCCTGGGAAATGAATCGATATACATCATGACACGCAGCAGCCTCGAGCCGCAAATTTAAGAGGGAAATGATTTACAGAGCTACTCACCGTTCGGTCCATATTTCTCCAGGTTGGCTTTGACCTGTTCGAGAGTCAGCCCAGTGTTTTCGTTCACACCGAAGTTGTCTAAAACTTCAGTCGCCGATTTAGTGTGCGCATTTTCCATGTTGGTGTGCCGGGCTTAGATGATCAGACAGAAATGTAGTTCAGTCACATCTATTGTGGGAATCGGAGGGTGCGCGTGCCTGGAAGGTGTACGAGCAGTAATTTCCACCGAAGGACGCGGGAGCGGTCGGTCACCTGTCCCCCCCCCAAGTGAAGAAAACCTCCGGATCCGCGGTTCAGACGCTGCTCTTTCTGTGTCGCTCGACTGCCGCTGCTACTTCATCCCCATCTGAAGGTGTGCTGTGTCTGTGCCGACGCGGACCGCCTCTCGGTTGTTGTGGGCACTCCCTCCTGCCCTCATTGGCTGCGTGTACCTGAGCGCAGACCCCCCCGCCCGCAGCCACCTCAGACATATCCCCTTGAAATAGGACCCGTGCTCCGTGTGGTGTAATGCGGGTTAATAACTTGTACATACTCTGTCATGGTTGCTGCTCCTTGTAGGGGGTTTGTCTTTTTTTTTTTTTGCCTAAACTTCAGCTGCTCATCAGAGGCTGAGTTGAACTTGAACAAGGCGCTGTTCAAAGCGCAGGTTTGAAAGCACAGCTGCTGCTGCGTGTGAGAGACAAGTGCACATAGGAGCCGAAGACTTGAAGTGAAGGGAACTCAGCCCGGATGCAGCTCTGATGCCCGCTGCGCAGTGAGCATGTAGATGCGGTCATTTAGGTTTTTAGCTTAAAGCTCCAGGCTCATCCACCGTGGAGCCGAAAGCTGAGATAGAAGAGTGAAACATGTGCAGGTTCATCTCCAAAGTTTCTGTTTCACGCGTTGAAATTATTTTTCTTTTCTTTTTTTTCTCCTTTTTTTGGAAATGACTGCAGCTCCAACTAATAGCTTTGTCAGCATGTCTCGAGTTTGGAAATAATTAACTGAAATAGAAGCAGGAGTAAAAAATTAAAGTGTGTTCATATGGATATTAGTTACTACGAGAATGATGAGACAGGAGATAATCTGAATGTGCTGTGGTTTCATTTTCAGGGAGTTAACTGTGAGAAAAAGTTATGAATGAGCAACATTTTCCACATGCTGCAGCTAACCGGACTAAATGAGGTTTCGACTACATTTACTACACAGGAACCGCTCTGAAACACAGCTGTGGTTTTATTCGGTTTATTTGCAAGATAAAAATGCAAATGAAACAGTGAAAGAAATCATTTGACCACAATGAAGCACGATGGCTGTGGCGTCTTTTCAAAAGCGGGGATCACACTAACAGCTAAGCAGAACAAACGGTGACAGCTGGGTTCTTCGTCCTTGCGATGGTGCCAGAGTGTTCTCTAAAGGAGACTTGGCTGGAGTGTCCTCCTGAAGTCCATTCCTGGCTGCACCGGTACTGAGAAACAACCTTGAGTCCTCAGGAACGAGGCTGAATGCTTAAAAGGAAGATTTCAGATGCAGGCTTGAACTCATACAAGAGGAGAAAGCACATTTAAAGTGAGAACACATACATACATTTCAGCTTATGAGGAATAAATAATACATGTAGCATATTTGTGGCAATTCGTTTTTGGTATAAAGCATCTTATTTTGCAGCTGATGCAAAACCATTTAAGGTTAACACACATAAACCTGCAGCAGCAACACATTAAAATGCACCTTTTCTTGTGACAAAGCAAAACACTTGCTTACATTCACTTCCTTCAGATAAGAGTGCAGGCGATCCTTAGTGCACACGAAAACATTATTTTGCAAATCATTTAACAAGGCCCCATTAACACTTGAACTTCCTGGAAAATTGTCTTTTGCAATGATGCTCTTACATAACATGGCGAGCAGACATCACTAAAACATTCAACTATCCCCGCCTGTTGGCCAATTAAACTCTCTTTCACCCTCTAACTGATATCTCAATGGTTGAGATGTCATCATCGGCCTGCCTGAGAAACATTACTGTTCGCAGTGCTTTACAGTTTCGAGTCGATGCTTATGGGAACAGAAGACGTTTTCCAAGAAGTTTCAAAAATTCATCGTCATCTGGGGAAGAATCAGATAAATGAATGCTAGTAAGGAAACGGGCGTTCCAGATTTCACGTCCATCGCTTCATTCCGAGTGTGAGGCTGCAGCACAATCTCCCCGCAGTATGTGGACTCTGAAGTGGGTCTGCTGTTGGAGATCACAGGCACTGGACTGGGACCTCGTTGGGCACAAACTATAAAAGGAACAGGGTGCTCCAATTCTGTCCCTGCTCACAGCTGGCCTCTTCTGTCACAGCAGAAGAAAAAGTGTATTTATATCTGAAACTTACGTAACTTCCAGAACTGCTGTCTGGAGGATGGCAGCCGCTACGTGAAGTTCTGGGATGCTAAGTGCCTGGTAGTGTCCTCGCACTTGATTTGGAGGGCCTGTCTTTGCCTTCGTCTCCATGTTCAGTCCATTTCTGTTTGAAAAGCCAGACCTCACTACAGTTATCCACACGTCCCAGCAGACAATATGACCACAGGTTCCACTTGGGCTGCTCGCTGCCCACTCACATGCACAGTCAGTGGGATTATTACTGACTTACAGCATCAAACTCTTTTTAAACTTGTGCTCGTGTGTGTGTGTTTTGCATCAGGCCTCACGGTGACATAAATTTCAAGCGAACCCCTCCAACACCAAAGCTCTTATGAAAAGGAAATCCCCACCTCCCCCCACCTCCACACACCCCTTTTTTTGGCTCGCTCCCTCTTTCCCTTCTGTGGCACACACTGGGGGACTGTACTAGTCTCAGTGCCAGTCACACAACATTTTCCACACACCACTGTCAGCCTTCCAATAGCATTTGCTTTCCCCTTTCGCTTGCAGGGTCATTTGCATGAGGGAAATGAGCCCTGCCCTTCCAAGCATAAAAAAAGACGTTCTCCTCCATCTCGACAGAACCCACGAGTGCCCATCGAAGATGACACACGCCACTCTCTGTGCGCCTGTGGTTTAGAAATCGATGTGAACTCCAGACTAATTTAAATGTAACTGTGAAAAACAGCCACCGTTGATGTTCGCCGTAGAGCTCTGTCCCCAAAGCTGTGGGCCAGGCAGCTGCTGCTGACGCTGACTTTGACTCAAGGAGATGATGATGTCGTGAGGTGACCGCATTTTGGAGCAGGTGTACCTGACAGGCAGCCCAAGTGGGAAGTCATTCCCGCCCAGCCACTTTGCCATTAACAAACCTCTTTACCCCCTTTCCCGTTCACTTCTTCCCCATTCAGAGCTCTGCACATCTGTGAGAGATCCATCATTGCACAGTCTGCCGAGGCAGGATGCTGCGCCGCCTGTCAGCCCGAGAAAATAAGAGCAATGGCTTAATGTCAGGGGAGAACTGGCTGCTTTCATGCTGCTTTAATATCAGCTCAACACTTTACATTCACGTCTTGATTTAAGAAGCAGCCTCTATTAGGGAGGTGTTCACTTTTCAGATCATCAGAACCAACATGCTCCAAATCCTGGTAATCATCCTATTCAGAGTTCTCGCACCATCTCCTGTTGCGGGGACCTGCAGGAGTTGCACACATTTCTTATATTATTCCAAGTCCTCAAACCTTTCCCACAGCACCATTTCCACATTTTAAAAGCTTTACTTAGACATAATTTCACAAGTCGGCTCAGTATTTGCTCTGAAATCTTTCATGAAAAGCAGATATAGAGTTCAATCTGTTCTATTAAAAAGCTATGTTTCCATTTTCTCCTGCCGGTGTTAGTTTTCCACGTCTGTGAGAGCTAGTCAATAAGAGTCAAGTTGCACTTTGAGGTTACTTTCCCATCAGTAGATGCTGCCTGCTCGCACAGAGCTCCATGGATGGATCTCTGTGCTCCGTCTTGGCTTTGTGACAAACAAGCACTTGACTGGTAGGATTGCAGTCACTCTGGTGTTCAGCCTGGAGCTAGGCTCAAGCAAAAACGAGGAGGTAACGTCTTTTTAACTCCCTCATTTAACTTGTAGTCTTCAGCCCTGACCACCAAAGATTCAAGTTACGTCGTGTGTGGCTACTTTAAAGGTTGCACAGCCTTTTGTTGAGACATACCACACCTTTTCACATATGCAATAGTACTTTCCAGGCCCTGTAAACCAAATTTGATTAGTTTAATGAGCAGTAGGCAAAAATGTGCAAAAGGAAATGTAAAACAGGCAGAATTGTAAAATAGAAAATAGCCCCAGCTCTTCCCTCGGTGGTCCACGTGTCATAAGCTAAAAAAAGATTTCTGAGCTTCATTTTTGCATAAATTGACTCTCACCTTTCAAGGCGAGCTGTTCTGCTGGGAATCAGATAAAAGACTAGATCTTAAATACTGTCTGTCACTCACCTGAGCTGGAGTGGAAAACAAAACCTGTGATTGGCCAAAGTCTCCAGTCAGAGCTTTAGGAGACTGGTTCCCTTCCACAGTGTTTGTCTATGTTTATTCACATGACACTAAAACCGTGCTACCCACTCCAGGTTTAATGCCCCCCATCCAAGTGTGTTCCAGGGATACTTGACCCCATCCCAGTCCAGCATAGGTGGACTCAGTTGATTTCAATTTGGATATTTCCTATTCTCAGTGTCAGCTGGGCTCTAGCTGCAATCACATAAATACTGGTTCACAGTGGAGTATGAGACCAATGTGGGCAACATACAAATAAAGGCAGAACCATCCACATCACACTGAAAGACAATGTTGAATCATCAGTTAGCATCGGATGCAAATCTTTGTATCGGGGCAGAAAATCTCTGCAGGCACAGGAAGCCCACGCAGAAGGAGGGTTTGAATCCATTCCCTAAAAAGGAACCCGTCCCATAACAAACAAACCTTACAGCAGCGCGAGAAAGAAGAGACACAGCAGCTACTCTCGTTACCCAATCACGTGGCCAGTTACATGTACACTGATGATTCAAAGTATAGTTGTCTTTTATGTCTGTGATTTCACCTCCTTTGTAACTCAGAAATTAACAGGAGTGATTTCAACACAGCTGGTGTTTTAAGACTAGTGAGTCCGTCTGTCGCTGCCTTTAACCTGTTATTCTGTGTTTGATGTCAGTAACCTGCACAATCTCTGACAGCCCACTTTCTACACTTGTCACTACTCATTTTCCCTTCTCCCCAAAGTCAACATTTTAATTGGCAACTGGCACATACACGTCATCATCATCATCATCACCAGCAGCAGCACATCCAGGCTGTTTGTGGGCTCGATCGCTTTGGACCGGATGAGTCACTGTGTGATGACGGGCTCATCCTGTCACTCAGCCCCTCTGTAATGGAATCAAATGCAGCATATGAAGCAATTACCCGACTCGCCGACGACGTGCGTTTAAAAGGTGCTGTTCTGTGCTTTTTGCCACACAAACACAGAGCTGGGCTGACA